CAAATCAAATTAAACCTGGAGAGGCTAGCTACCAACAGTGTGCCTTCCTTACACTCCCTTCTTAGGGACAGTAGTGTGAAGTGCAGGTTCCAAATACATTTTAACAGCTGTTTGACCCTGATTAAATAATAGCTACTCTCTTCAGTTCCTAAAAAATAGGGAATCTACTATAACTGGGATGAGGGCAAAGACAGCCAATTTCTGACTCTGCTATGAGAAGAAAAAGATACCCTCTGTATCACTAAGTGTACTAGGCTGAAGTGATGTTGGGACAGAGTGGAAACAGTCACAATTACTATTACAAAATCTGCATTAAAAATATATATTTGATGTTGGGACAGGGTGGGAACAGTCACAATTACTATTACAAAATCTGCATTAAAAATATATATTTGATGTTGGGACAGGGTGGGAACAGTCACAATTACTATTACAAAATCTGCATTAAAAATATATATTTGATAGTGGCAAAGTGTGAGAGCACTGGGCTCAGAAAACTCTTGTTATATCTGTTGTAACAACAGTGACTCAGCATGTGAATGTTGGCAATCAGTAAAAGTCTCAAACTCTTAAATTAATCATCTTTACAAGGAAGAATTAAAGCAGATGATCTGTGGGCTTTCTATTCCAATGTCCTATGAAATCTTAAAAAATAGTCTTTGAGGTGTGTATGTATATATAAAAGCAACAGCATGCTCATTGTAGACAATATTTCAAGTATTCAGAAGTAGACAAGAGAAGAATCTCTCCATTGGCAATAGCTTCTGTACTGAGTATTATGGAACATTTCCTTATAGTATTTTTACATATCTCTCATACATCTACACAATCATAAATTTTAATTTTAATAATGAAAATTGTAAACATGAAGAGAGTTACAGACAATATAACATACCTACTACGTATCCACTGTCCAGATATGTGTTAATTTTCAAATTTCCTTATAATCTTTATTTTACTTTTAAAACATAAAATTAAAGATAAACTACAGATATATTAATTTAATTTACAGATAAATTAAAACTATCTTCCTTCCCAGAGGTAACCAAAATCCTGACATCAGTGTGAATTAACAGCTTGCATGTTTTTATACTTTTACATACTTATATATTGATAAATATGAATACAAACACACATATAAAGTATGTAATGTTATTTTGTGTATTATAAAATGTACATAAATAATTGTTTTATTTCACCCTGTTCTCAACCACCCTCCAATTTATTATTGTTTTAATTTTTAGTCTATTTTGATTGACTTGTGAGTTTGCCATTTTTTTGGCTTACAATTGCTTCATGCGCTCTACTCCTTTCTCTTTGTTTGATTTTCTTCTTAATGTTGTGCATCCATTAATAGCCTTTCAAAAGAATATGTGAGCAGCAAACTTTTTTTTTCCTGAAAATGGCTAATATTTTCTTAAATGATAGTGAATCTGGTATAGAACTCTGTATTGGTAATTATTTATAATACAGATTTTGAAGACGCAGTATTACTCCGTTGTCTTTTGACCCACATTCTCTTTTTTATTGAAACATCATTGATTATACATATTTGTGGGGTACAGAATTGACTATCAGTATTTGTGTACAATATGCGTTGATCGAATGTGGATAGATGGCGTATTTGTCATTACAAAACATATTCATTATTTGTGTCCATTAACCACATTCTTGATGTTGAGAAGCCTGCTGTCTGTGTGATACTTATTTCTTTATAGAAAAACTATGCTTCATGTCTGGTTGCTTTACAGTTTTTCTCGTCTTTGGCTTTCTGCAGTGCCTAGGTGTGAATTTATTTTAAATATAAGTCCTTTTTGGGACTTATTGTTTTTTGTTTAACCTAAAATTTATGACTTTTACCAATTCTAATACATTCTCAGCCATTATTTTTCAAATATTGATTACCTACTATCACCTTTTAGAGCTCTTACTGAACATGTCTTGGTTATTCTCATGTCTTGTTATGTGTCTTTTATATAACTATATTTTTATTTGCTTTTTTCATTGTTAATTTTTCATACTGTTGCTCTTTTCTTATTGTTTATATCTGCTTTTATCTGTTTTGTTATTTAAATATAGTTATTTTATAAAGTCTTCAAAATTTTCTATCTCAGGTTCTCGTAGAGCTAATGGTGCTGTAATTTTACCCGACTTTTACTCATGAAGGATTATCTTGTGTGTTTTGTAAATCTTAAAATTGTGAACTCATCTTCAGAAATTGTTTTTCTCCTGTAGAAATTCCACATGGTAGTTTCATATCTTCATTTGCCACTTACACCAGGGACAACACTGATCTTTTATTGATCATTATGTTAATTTTTAAGTTTGTGTATTACAGCATGCCTTCGGATTGTGTAAATTTGTGTTTCAAATTTATGCTGCATTTATGGTTTCCATCTATCATGAGAACCTTTTTCTTTCCCCATGTAGCACCCTGTGCAGGCACAAGCCTTCTTATTCATTTCCTGAGTTGGGAGTTCCAGATTTATGCAGAGGTCTCAGTTCCAACTCCTTATCTTGAGTGGCTCAAGGTCCCAGGTGGGCATTAGAACTCAAGTCCCTAGCCACAGATCCTATTTCTGTATCAACAATCAGAAGCTCAAAATTTAGTGGCTTAAAACATCAGTAATTTATTATTTCTCATGATTTTATTATCTGGTCTGGACTGTGCTGTGCAGTTTATCCGTTCGAGGTGGTATCTCACTTTCTAGGACCTCATTCAACATGGCCTCTCTCATTCTACAGTATAGCCTGAGCTTCTTACAAGGTGTCCGGATTCCAAGAGCAAGCATTATGAGAGTGAAAAAATGGAACTTTCAAGGCCTCTTAAAGCTCAACATGGAAGACACACCCAGTCTGCCATGTTTCTCCAGGACCAAAGGTTCAGATTCCTTAACCATCTTATTGCCAATAAATACTTGTTGAAAAATTTCTACATTTGCAAAATGTTCCATTGACTCATTTAAACATTCCCCTATTGTCATTGGCGGTATCCCTGATTTTTTTACAGTTATAAATTACACAACTCTAAACATTCTTGTATTATGTCTCTGAACTCTGTAATTCTAATTTCATTTTGCTGTATTTCTTTAATTTCCTCGAAGGTATGATTCACAGAACTAAAGTTTCCTTCTTTCTGTCAAACTACTAGATTTGTAAATATTTGATATTTGTAAATATCAAACCCAGCTGTGTAAATATTTCTGTGGGAATCAGTGAAGTTGCACGGGTCACACTGCCTCTGTGATGACTGTGCAGAAACGCATTATTGTTTAGGGAGCTGTATGTTGTCATCAAATAATTTTGAATTGGGAATATTTAAACTTTCGTTTATTAGCCAAATGACCCTATGCAAGTTACTTTTTCTTCTTAGAATACAATTTCCTTAAACTAATTTGGTCCTAAGTTTTGATAACTTATTCATTTGTTTAACATATAGTTTCATGTTTACGGCCAAGAAAAAACAATTTTGACCAAAGAAAACAGATTTATCCTGGTACTTTATCTGGATATTGATCACACAGGAAAATGATACTGCCTGTAAAAAAAAAAAAAGAAAAAAAAATCTAGACAAGAAGTCTATAGTTTGTTGGCAACAAAAAGGGCAAAAGGTAAGGAAACACTGAGGGGCTCACATTTAAATTGTTCAGGTTTAGTCTCACTTCATTACTTTTTAATGGAAACTTCTCAGCCATATCAGTCCTGCAGCTTAGCAGGATATTTTAAATAGGTGAACATGGTTAACAAAAAATAAAAGTGTTTATAAGACCATGTTTGTATGAGCTTATATTTTTTAGCAGCCCTGCGCTATACATGCATGACGCAAATGCTATTATTTAGTTTTTAAGGATGTTCACAATTATGGGAGGACAGATGCGTTTTGTCACACATTCTCGAGCTTTATTCTGCTATGATGCTGGATGGAGCTAATGAGTCTGGTACAACATGGGCTCCTGGAGAGGGCCAAGACCTACCAAGGAGACCCACGGAGGGCAGGATGGTGCCAGGAGGCAATGGTGTCAACACGTCATTTGTGTCTTTCTTACACTCAATAACCCACAATTCATTGATTCCATAGACTTCTTTTAAAAAAAAACAACAATATTTTAAGCTAGGAACTGGAAGAGTTACAAAAGTGAGCCTGAGTTCTTTCTTCTAATGCTTCTCACCAGCCCTCAAGATATGGAAATGGTTACAGACCACTTGTCAATCTAGATGTATTTTTGTCTTTGGTGGGAGATTTAGAATGTTGGTCTGGAAAAATTGCTCGACATGGTCTGGTCCAGACTTTTTATTTTCCTGGGGAGATCCTTGAGGCTCATTCAATTCATTAAACTTTTGTGCAGATCCACAGGTAGTGGTGTGAGAGGACAAGGCCTGAGGCAGCCTTGTTTCTGTCCAAACATACACATATGCCTTTACACATTTTCCAGGGCAAAGTTTTAGTATCTTTATGCTTAAAGACAGATACACCAACTAACTCAGCAAGTAGCTTCTGGAAAAGCCATGCTTCAGAATCAGCATGGGGCCTCTGAAATAATTTGATCATTCCAGGAGACCAAGGGGTGAGATGGATAGAAAAAAAAATTTTTTTTTTGTCCTTTTTGAGACCGGCTGCACCGCACTCAGCCAGTGAGCGCACCAGTCATCCCTATATAGGATCCGAACCCGCGTCGGGAGCGCTGCTGCGCTCCCAGCTCCGCACTCTCCTGAGTGCGCCACAGGCTCGGCCCTAGAAAAATTTTTTCTTGTTGTCAAAGCACAGAAAGCCAGGGTACTGCATGATTTGAATATGCCGTGGCTTATCTTTTCACCTTAAAGAGGGCAAGCTTCTGGGGGGTAATCCTTCTCCTTATACTGTGTTCTTTGTTTTAAAGATTTTAAAAGTTTAGCCCAAGCCATGCTGTGGCACTTGTCAAAACCAAGGGAAATCCAATATGTCATTTACAGTTTCTATGGCTGGTTAATCAATTGAAAATCCCACCACAGGGACATCTTACCTATTAGTTAATCTTCTTGTTGGCTCTCTGTTGGGTCATTTACACTGTCAACCTGACTATTCATTTCAGCTGTAACCAGAAAGGAAAACAAAATGTTAAATATTTGTTTAACCTAAATCTTTTAAATACATCAAATTGGCCTGTGATATGAAACTTTCTTGATTTTTAATCTTATGCCTCTTTTCAGTTGGTTTTCATTCATTCATGATTTTGGGACTATTCTTAAAAAATTTTTACTGGTGGGGTGGGGAAGGGCACGATTGCCTCTTCCCAAAACTGTAGAAACTGAGTTGTCATTTTATACCAGATTTTTGGGTTGGAAGTTAAGTAGTATTTATTACTATCTTTAGATAAATTCAAAGGCCTTAATAGATATCTAAGAAAATAAAGAAAAAACAAAGCAGAAAAGATCATTGACTTGCAAAAGATCATTGATAAGCAGCTCCCTCCAAAATGGCAATGTCAATAAGCCTGTTTGGTTTGCCATGTTTTTGTTTTCAGAATTCAAAACAGATCCTGTAAACTTGCCAATGGGTGCAGCGGCTGTGGACATCACAAAATAGAAAAGCAAAGCATCCAACCAGATCACATGGCTCTGCTTTTACTTGACTGTGTGTATTCTATGAGGGTATCTGCATAAAAATAGAATGTGTAATTACTGCCATTCTCCAAAAGTAGCCCAGAGCAGGCATGCAGTACTCTGGAAATTTCCAACGGTCAGCAGGTTTAATTAGATTGATATTTTTAAAGCATCAAAGCCCACATTATAAGCTGAGAGATTGAACATGCAAGTGGACAATGGCCAGGTCTCATATAACAATAGAACTCTGACTCACTTAAAACCTCTGTGGCAACCAGCCTGGCAACCAAACCATAACCTCTGCACAATGGGCTCAAAATGGCCATGACTTGGTCAGTGATTGTCAGCTTTCCTATTTTTTGCACCTGCTTCCAACTTGGGACCAACCAGGGAAAGCTCCTCAAACCAATCACTAAGATGCCCCACTTCTAGTTAGCCGTGTCTAGCTTCCCCATGCCAACAACCTTCAATCAGAGGACGGTTGAAGTCTTCCCTTTTGTTAACTGTAATGGTTTCCCACTCCCTTTCCTGCCTTTGGCCTGCCAAACACAAGTGTTGAGGACTGACAACCTCTCTGTAGTAACCTCTGTTTGTTCTCATTTGGATGGTCTTCATTTATTTGCACAAAACTAACAACTTAAATCTTTTTTATTCGAACATGAAAGCTTGATTAGAATAGTGGCAGATGCTGATTTTCACACTCCAAAGAGGCTTGACAGAGGGAATGACATTGCCTGGCTTCCCACTCACCTCTCTCCCAATGAGGAAGGTTTGAAAAGCAGGTCTCCTTGTTCTCACCTGCAAACTATCCTGGGTTTCTAACGATGTGTGAGCTCATTTTAAACCCCATATATAAACTGACCAGATGCAGCAACTCTATGTAGAGATAATCATTCACACGCTGTCCATCCTGGTCCATGAAGTTATTCTGAGTTCACTCCTCTCAGTATGGGAATTGTAAAAGATAAAACACTGAAGCACATCCCTTTTCTGTTTCTTCCAACCAAGGACACCAGTCCCCAAAATTATTAATAAGTGTTAATATGAAAAGCATTCCATGATCAAAGAAGTTTGAAAAAGGGAACTTTAAAGCATGTTAAACAAGTTTCTTTACCCCTGAGACTTTGACCGGTAAGGGGATTGCAACCCTTGGCACAGTGTTGTCTGCACCACGCTCAGCCAGTGAGTGCACTGGCCATCCCTATATAAGATCCAAACCCACAGCCTCGGTGCTACCAGCACCGCACTTGCCCAAGTGAGCCACCGGGCTGGCCCTCACCCCTGAGACTTCTAAGAGCCTGTAAACCTCTACTGTGCATGGTGAATCTCCAAGTAAGGACTAGACCTCAGTATTTCCTATATTTCTTTCCCTTTTATACAAGGAGCATTGTGTGGGTCTGATAGTCCTCAGAACATACTTTGCAAGGAACTAGTTAAAAACTATGTCTGTAGTGTCACAATCAGGTTGGGACAGGTTTAGTTTAACTGAGTATGACTAACATGGGGTGGCTTTTAAGGGTTAAAAACATTATTATCCTAGGTACTGCATGCCCATGACTAAAAAGTCAATTTGTGCAGAAGGTCTTATGATGAAGGCTGGCAATTTGGATGATGGTTAGCCCGTGGGAGGGAGAAATACCAGGTATAGGAAACTCTATTTAATACTACCAAGTATGGCCCAATACTGGCTGAATTTTTCCCAATGTCATTATCAATGCAATGTAATTTTCTTTTTTTCTTTGGCTAAAATAACCCAAACAACACGATATATAAATATTTGATCACCTGACCAGTATCAATTTTCCTAAGCTCTATGGGCCAGTGGAATCAAATATTCATTAAATCATGTGTGCTCAAATAGTTGTTTTTCTAATGCAAGTCAAGGTATTTCGAAGTGTTCTCAGAATCATTGTGCAGAGGCAAGGGGATTTTGATATTCCTGAGGCTCAGAATCTTTAGATGCCTTCAAAATTAGATGTGAATAAAGAAAGGTTTTGTAAACATTTTTAAAGTGCTTTAAAGTCTCATTATGTTTTTGGACAAAGCATTCGATGTGACCCAGTGAGGTGAAGTGACACAGTGAGGTGAAGGTTATATATGGGGTTTAAAATGAGCTCACACATCGTGAGAAACCCAGGATAGTTTGCAGGTGAGAACAAGCACAATGAAGTCCGAACTCAAGCCAGGGCTCCCTGCCCTGCTGAGTGGAGCCGGTATAACAGCAGGGCAAGCACCTCTTGCAGAAGTAAGTGATGTTTCCACAAAGTTCACCAGGGAGACTTCAGTTCTTTAGCCTTGAAATTACCCACTGTGGCCTGAGTATTGGGAGGTATGATTAAACCAAGGCATATGCTGTTTTAAGAGAGCTAGCATTAGTTAAAAAAAAAAAAAAAGGCTGACATTTTTATTAGTTCTTAGTAGAAAATGGTTTTTGAAATTTACCTTGTTCTAACTAAATATGTTGATTTGTAGAACAGATTGCTATCTTAATCCTTAATCTTAGATTACACATAGAAAACGTGCCAGATTTATAGTTTGCATGATGTCAAATATCTCAGAACCTTACCATCAAGACCAGTAGTGTTTTCTGTGTCACTGGAGCCTTCGCTTTTCACAGGCATAGGTGTGTCCTCGCCTTGAGCTAAAAGAGGGGAAGATGATAGTCCTTGATTAATAGAGAATTATAACTGTCTGACTGCCAATTGTTCTTTTACCCTCCGTTGCCCTTGTAAATTTAAAAATACTCCTGGGATTTAACTTCTTTTGCACAAAAGGTTAAAAGAGAACATTTTGGGTGAGTTGAGTTGCTTGAATGCTTTAGTGCTGTCTTGTAAGTTCTCTTTAATTTGTGAGATAACCACATACATATACAATTTTTTAAAATTAGAAATCTGGTAGCATGAAAGCACAAAAACTTGGTTTAATCAGAACAACCCACAATTTAAATTTGGGCGTGTGTGTGTGTGTGTGTGTGTGTGTGTGTGTGTGTGTGTGTGTGTGTGTGTGTGTGTGTGTGTGTGTGAGAGAGAGAGAGAGAAAGAGAGAGACAGAGAGACAGAGAGAGAGTGAGAGAGAAAGATTATGTAGTTTACTCCTTAAAGAGAAAAAAAGAGAAAACCTGTATTGCCTTAGGCATGCATGAAAGCTGAAAGATTCATTCTTCTGGTAGTGAGATATTTTTTTTTGTTGCTGAAACATAAATGAATGGTTTAGTTGCTTGCTTAGGAGACCTCAGTGCTGCCATTGTGATTTGCTAGGAATCCAGTCTTTAGTTGATTTCTGTTCCTCCCTGTGGCTGAATCTATATAAGAAGCTTAAATGCAGTATTAATAGGATTGTTTTTCATACTGTGAAAAATTTTCCAGATATTCAAAAGGACAATAATCTCTTACTTCTTAGTTAAATATCTATTCATTTCCTTAACTTGAAAAGCAAGGGCACTTATAAATATAAGTACAGATGCAGATAAAGTGCTAGAAAACCATAATTTTAAAGTATTTATTATTTCTGTACTTTTTAAAACAGATTAAATTCATTTTTTATTACATATGTACTTACTGAGCAGAGAGTATGTTAAACTTTGTGTGCCTATTGGTGAGAATGAAGCAAGGTTGGGGAAGATCCAGCATATAATCTCTTCAAAGGAAGAGACCTTCAGAGGTGGAATTTGCACTCTTGATAATTGACAATCAAGAAGTATGATTCAAGGATGACTGAGCTCTGAGCCTGGGTGAATGGATGGTTGAGAGGTCAATACTTAAGATGAATAAAAGAAGCAGAGTCAGGGAAGGAGAAGAAAGCCATTTTAAATTTGAAGCCCTAAGTGCAGGGTAATTTAATGGAGAGGCAACACAAGTTTTTGCATCCTGTCCTAAGGAGAAAATTGTGAACTAAACATGTGAGTATTTGAGAGACATCAATATAGACTAATACTGATGATATGAGAGTAGACAAGAGAGCCCAGGAAAAGGATAATGCGAGAAGAAAACAATGACTCATGTTCTCCCAAACCCTTTAAGGCCAGTATAAAAGTAACTGTATCCACAGTTCTTTTCATTAGTTCTTGAGGATGAGGTTGGGAAAGAGAAAACAAAACTTAAAACTTCCAACTAGACTTGTTAACACTATAGCATACACTTTCTTACTCTGCCAATTCTAGAAATGTACCATTTTTCAATTGCTTATTAACACGCTTCTTAAACACATAATTACAAGCAAAATTCTTGATGGATTCCTCTAAGCTTGGGAGCAGGGAAATTTTGTTTATTAGGCCTTAAAACATAGAGGTAATGAGGAAAAAAAGAAATATTTTACTTTATGTACATAATAAATTTTTGGATGGGAAAGATACCATAAAAAAAGTTTTAAAAAATGACAAGTTAAAAATTGAAGAAAATATTTGCACCTTTTATCACAAAGTATTAATAATAATTTTAATATATAAGGAGCTCTAAAGATAGAGATGAAGATCACAAGTCCAATAGAAAAATGGAGAAGAGGTTAAACAGTTCATAAAAGAAGAAATAAAAATGGCCTATAAATGTGTGAAAATATGATTCATTTTGCTAATAAAAAAATACAGAATAAAATTTCAGTGAGAAAAAGAGTTATCCTGAAGGTAAACTTTAATGATGCAGACTAACCCTCCTGCCAAGAACAACTAGAAATGCTGGACAAATTATTTAAGGTACACCCCCCCACACACACACACATTTTTAAGGTATCAGAGAGCCATGAATGCAACACAAACTTGAGGTGTATAATGGTGAGCCTGACATGTCATATGTGCCAAGAAGTTGAACAGAGCCTCCATATGTTTCATAAGGCTGAGGGCAGGGAACAAAACTTGAAGGCCTAGGCTCACCAAGGAAGAGATTCCCTGATAAGGCTTTTATGTGGGGCTCCCTGAAGGGTTATACCCAGGGGTGAGGAGGAACTTGAAATAGACCAGCTCTTAAAAAAACCTGAAGTTGAACTTTAAATTTACAAAATTCCTGATTGGAATACAGTGCTCTGCACTATCCTACCTGTCTGTCAGAAGTGAAAATAAATTCTCTCTGGAGGAAGATTAAAACACCTAGAGCCTTAAGTTATCTCTATAACTTTTCAAACACAGTGCCCAACATTCCATCAAAAATTACCTGGCATTCCAGAAGAACAAGAACAAATCAGCAAAAACTAAGAGACTGAACTTAATTCAACAGTACATGAAAAAGGTTATATATGATGATCAAGATGAATTTATCCTAGGGATGCAAAGATGGATCCACACACACAAATCAGTAAATGTGATACACCACATCAACAAAATGAAAGACAAAACCCATACGATCATCTCAATCAATGCAGAAAAAGCATTTGATCAAATTCAACATCCTTCATGATAAAAGCTCTCAACAAACTAGGTATAGAAGGAAAGTACCTCAACATAATAAAGACGATATATGACAAACCTATAGCTAACATTATACTGAATGAGGAAGAGTTGAAAGCTTTCCCTCCAAGAACAGGAACAAGACAAAGTTGCCCAATTTCATCACTCTTATTTAACATAGTACTGGAAGTTCCAGCCAGAGCAATTAGGCAAGAGAAAGAAAGGGGGCTTCCAGTCAAGGTGGTGGAATAGACAGTTGCCAGTGTCATTCTCTCCCACAAATCAACCAAGTTACAACTATTAAAAAGCAACAACAGCCAAGCTGGGGCTGCTAGAGTTCAAGGGAAGAGGAGGAGAGACCTACAGAGTTCATGAAGGTGGGAGAAGCCACGATGAGAGAAAGAAAGGATGGCTCCAACTGTTTCAAGCCCTGGCCACTTCAAGGCTGGAGCTGGTGCGCACATGGAGCAGGAGATGGCAAAAGCCACAGCTGTGCCCTTCAGATGACGTTGCTTGGAGGCTTCAGATGAGAAGAGGGCCTTGGTGGCCCCTAGGCCAGCAAGCCTACTAACAGGTTTCCTGTGGACCCACATAAGACTGAGGAGCCACAGACAACTGAAAAAAAGGAGCCACTCAAAGGCAAGTGAGTCATTGCAAGGGACTAGCACACATCCCACCCCATGTGTTTCAAGTGCAGGTGGTGGTGGAGATGGGCCCACTGGGAGAACACTGGGGCACCTCAGGGACAGCTGATCTGCCCTCCAATCAGCACAGGACCATTCAGTGGAGACTGGTCAGGAATATAGAACTGCAGGGGGTGCAGTTTGCTGAAAAGCCTCTGACTCAGACCAGAATTACTACACAACCCAGGTGTACTGGATTTCATGAGACCCTGAAGTACCTATAAAGTCAACCATTAAAACCTGAGCTGCACAAAAAGCCTTCCCCAGGGAATCAGCAGCAAAGCAACAATTTAGCTCAACCAAAGAGCTCAAATGCTGTTCCCCACAGGAAGTTCCCCCATTTTAGAAGTAAGCAAAGGACAACAAATTAGTTCCAGTGCCAAGTTCAAGTGATAGGAAGAGCAAATAAATCCAACACAGACCAGAAACAAAGTTTGATATTAACTAGTAAAGCTCTCATTTCATCAAAGAACACCTACAAAACCTAGAAGGACCAGAAATCTCCTGGGCTACCAAGGCAGGGGCAGGGGAGGGCTGGGGCCTCAGCCATGCCCCCTGACACCCATAACTAGCCTAGTGATGAACAACAAGCTGCACGAAGTACCCCACGCTCTCCTGAGCAGGGGTGGTGGGGGGCCAAGGGCCTCAGCCACACCACCCTGGCACCTGCAACCAGCCCAGCAATGACCACTGAGCCACCAGAGGAAGCTCCCTGGGCTATCTTGAGCTGGAGCAGTGGGGGACCTTGGGCCTTGGCCACACCCCCTGATACCTGCAACCAGTCCAGTGACTACCACTGAGTCACTGCAGGAAGCACCCTGGGCTCTCCTGAGCCAGGGTGGTGGGAGGCCAAGGGCCTTGACTAAGGCCCCCCAACACCCACAACCACTGCAGCAATGACCAAGGCATCACTGGAAGCCCCCTGGTCTTACCTGCCATAATAAGGGGGTTGCCACAGGCCTCAACCCTGCCCTTTCTCCTTCCTCCTTCTCCCACCCTATTTTCTTCCCCCTTCCCCTCTACCCCTTTCCCCCAACTGCTCTGCAACATCATAGAATGTAAAAAATAATTTAAAGAAAAATAAACATAAAAAAAAAGAAATAAAGGGCATCCAACTTGGAAAAAAGAAGTCAAACTGTCTCTGTTTACTGATGACATGATCTTATATAGAGAAAAAACTAAAGACTCCACCAAAAAACTCTTAGAACTGATAAACCAAATCAATACAGAAAAATCAGTAGTATTTCTATATACCAACAACATTATAGCTGAGAAAGAAATTAAGAAAGTGATCCTATTGACAATAGCTACCAAAATAATAATAATAATAATAATAATGATGATGATGATGATGATGATGATGATGATGATAAAAAATACCTAGGAACAAATTTAACCCAGAAGGTGAAAGATCGCTACAATGAAAACTACAAAACACTGCTAAAAAAAGTTAAAGAGGACACAAAAAAATGGAAAGACATTCCATATTCATGGATTCAAAGAATTAATACTTTCAAAATGACCATACTACCCAAAGTGATCTACAGAATCAATGCAATCTCTATGAAAAGTCCAAGGATATTC